ACTTATTATTCTTTGGGCCGCGGGCACACTTACTAATCTTTGGGCCGTGCCGCCCCAATACCAGGGTCCTGGCTGCGCCCCCACCCACCTTACGCCCGAGGCGAGTGCCCTTCCAGGCCCTTCCAACGGCCCTGATCACTGGAACAGGTGTCCCCACTGGAAGGTGTCCCCCTTACTGCCTGTTTTTAACACAAATTGTAAAATTGTGGAATGTCCCACTTTCTGCCCTAATGATAATGCCAATCAGATGTAATAGAGAGAGAATATCCCCAACAGGCTCACAGACAGCAATACAGACCTAAAAGAGGTTCTGCCCATTCTATCACAAATAACATTTTGGCATCAAAACACTTTAGATTTATTTGAGAACTAATGGCATCGAAACCACTGGTAAGATACTGCTGCTTATTTTATACAGGCAACCATTTAATTACTTCCCACTTATATACTGCTATAAGAAAAAGTGATCAAAAGCCCTTCATGAATGGAAACACAGTATGGAGACTCATTTGATTCTTCTAAAAAAGGTTGCACAAAAGCCATTGATAATATGGATGGTCCATTACCCCCTTAACATCCAATCATAAAAAATATATTTTACCTAATCTGGCTACAGTACACTGAAATCTGATTGCTTTCAGTATTTTGCATATCACCAATATACCTTAAACTACATTACCAAACACATCTAATAATTTAGACTCACAGTTCTGGCATTGTATTAAGCATTATAACATCAGCGTTTAATAACTGCAGTGATGCCCTTGGTGCATTGTATCAATGGATTTAGCTCATCCAATCTGTTCAGAGAACCAGTCAGGAATTTGTATTTAAGTTTACTATCACTTTAAAAGGACTGGCCAAAATGACACCAAATTAACAGCATTACGCAGGTAGGATATGGGATTTCAGATTTCATCTGCAATGGCACTTGGTTGTGAAATTTGGCATTGAAGCTCCCCTCTCAGGTGGTTTGTTCACTAATTATTTAATAAATAGGCCATGATTTTATTCCCAGAGCCTGCTGTTATTTGCAGGAAGCCATGGAAGGGCACAACTCCTCCATGTTATAATACAAATGCTTCAGAACCAGATGGAGTATGAAGTTAATATCAGTATTAAATCACCTTTAATCTTCAGTCTAAGTATAACATGACAAGGTGCATACACTTTGGGGCACACCTAAATTGTACGTAAACCCTAAATCTTTGTTTTAGTATGTTTGGCATCAAGCCTCACTGTATACATTTTTCTTAAAGGAGAACTAGGAGGCGAGTGATTTCCACTCATCCTCAAAGTTAGAGCTGTCCTGTGACAAAGAAGCTGTCACAGGTCGGCTCTATAGATCAGGAATTGAGCAGAAACATGCCGCCGATCCACTCACTTCCCAATCGTCTCCCTGCAGTGAGCGGTGACTGTCAGTCACCGCTCCCCGCAGGGATTCCCCCCTCCTCTTTCCGATCCTCCAGTGCTGAGTGGAGGAACGAACGGGGAAGGGGCGGGGAGAGCTGGCTCTGCCTCTAGATAGATCCACCCAGCTCCACCACGCAGCTGGGTGAATCTCGTATTTTCGGAATCCATGTTGGCTGCGGCGCTTTCACTATATCGTGGGCAATAGCCCGTGATATACTGAGCTTTGGTTAATTGCAGAAACGTCACCAGCACACCAAATACTTATAGGGTCAAAATTCGTAGATTTATTGCTAACTCATGTTAAGTAGTGTAACTAACTCATGCTAGTTACACTACTTGTGTAACTGTTACTTACTTGTGTAACTGACATGAGTTTGCAATAAATCTATACATTTTGATCCTATAAGGATTTGATGTGCTGGTGACGTTTCTGCAATTATCTGTATTTGGCGGTGCCATCCGCAGTCATTCCAAGCACCCCCCCCCCCCCCCCCCCCCGCGCCCACCCCGGGCGGGGAGGGAAGAAAGGTAAGGAGTGCAATGAGCCTTTTCTTTTTTCTTGGATACTGAGCTTTGGGTCACGGGAGGGGGTTAGTATACATCCTCCCGGAACCCTAAAGAGAACTATGGGGAAAAACACCCCATAGTTCTCTTTTAAGCAAATTGTTGTTTGTGCAAAGTCTCTTACCTGAAAATCCTGCCAGTAGTGGCAATTTCTGCTACTGCCTCCCATTTGGCAATAGTGTTGTCAGCCTGCTGTCAGCACTCTAAGTTGTCCCTTGGGCTGCCAATCTGATCTATCTGATAGACCCAATAATCAGCCCAATGACCAAGTAGATTAATTTAACAATGCTGCTGCTAAAGCACAGGTCATTGCTTAGCAGTGTTAGCATAAAACAGGAAATGCTGTCACTGGCAGGATCTCCAGGAAAGAAACTTTGCAACAGATTGACAAAAATGCTTTGCTTACGAAAACTGTACATACAGTAAGGCATGACGTCAAACTTACTTAAAAATAGATTTAGGGTTTAAATAAACTTTAATACAAGAGCAACATACAGTATATTGAAAAAATCATCATCAAGAGCAGCGTTTCTCCACCAAGGTTCCTCAAGAGGTTGATAACGGTTCCTTGAGAAATAAACAATTGTTGCCTCCCAGATAAGCTATCATTGACAGAAATGATCTTTTCAGAAATCTGTAGGGGAAGCATTCTTCCCACTGATCACCAATGTAAGGAGAGTTCTCATTGACCACTAGTTTATGAGGACCCATCACTGGTTACCAATTTAAGGGGGCACTTCTCCAATTACTTCACTTTTTCTGCTCAACACCAAAGTGAGGGAGCACTACAATTGTCACTGTTTGCGCTAATATTAATTGCTTTGTTTCATTATTATTACTAAAAGCAATATAATCAGATAGAGCAGATTTGGATGCCAAATATTCTAAGTATGCCATGTTCCTTATTCCTTTATTTGTTCTTATATCGACAACTCATGACTTAAAAGCTTTATATATTATAATTATTAGAAGGGATACCCTGAGACCTGGAAGTTATTTTAGAGACGTCTCTGTTCTTTAAATAATATGTAATGATCTATAAGGTCAATAGTCAAAACACATCTATTTAAAGCCTATCTCCAGGTCTCCACTGCACTTCACTGCTTGTTTTTGTTAAGGGGTACTGTGTAAAGCACTTTTATTTACCTGATCTAGTTCATGCTGGCTACAAAACCCGTGTCCACAGCCTCTTTCCCCCTCCACTTCGACGGTTGAAGGCCCGCTGACATCATCACCTCTACTGCAGGGCCAATAGCCCTGCAATATACATAAGGATGCCAAGAGACAGTCCACATGTTGGGGGAGCAGGGATCAGGTTAATAAAAAAACAAAAACCTTAACACAGTTCCCCTAGACCAGGGGTGCCCATTAGGTAGATCGTGATCTACCAGTAGCTCTCAAAGCTGATGCTGGTAGATCACGAAGGGTGTGAATGGCGGCCCCTTTATTCCATTTTGGTATATTTATTTAGCTGTGCACATATGATAACCTATCAACCTGAGTCTGCTGAGCCAAGCTCCCTGCCACCTTTCTGGTGGATACTGGTGGTTGAAGTGCTATGTATTACATCAAAGAATATTAGTTTACACAGCCTGTTATACTACACTGTTTGCAAAATACAGCAAGGTGAGCCAAGAAAGAGCACGGGGAGAGACAGACAGGAGAGAGAGGAAAGACAGCCAGGGTAGAGAGAGTGAGGAGAAATAACCAAGGGAGAGAGCAAGGAGAGACAGCCAAGAGAGCAAAGAGAGACAGCCAGGAGAAAAAATGAGGAATGACAGCCAGGGGAGAGAGCAAGGAGAGACAGCCAGGGGAGAGAGCAAGGAGAGACAGCCAGGGGAGAGAGCAAGGAGAGACAGCCAGGAGAGCGAGGAGAGATACCCAGGAGAGACAGCGAGGGAGGTTTTTTTTTCGTTGGTAGATCTCATGTAGCTCAACATTTGAAAAGTAGATCTTAACACAAAAAATTGTGGGCACCACTGCCCTAGACAATAACAAGCAGTTAGCCCATGCAGTGTGGGGGTAACTCCCACTGCAGGGGTAGTTGTGTCTTTACCTGAATATAGACTTTAAAGTGTATTTCCACTTTTGCAACCAAATTGGGATAACATCTATATTATATTTGTTCCCCTTCACATAGCATAAGCTAAACAAAATATAAAAAAATGCTTCTTGCAGTTTAAATTGCTTTTTACTGGCTATTTTTTGTTGTTATGCTGTGTGAAAAGGAACACATAACAAACATGTAGAGGGGTTTTCTCAAATATGACTGGGAAAGTGGAACCACACTTTAAGGTTCTCAAGGAATGGGGTTATATACTACTGATTTAAGATTTCCTCTTTCTTACACAATATCTTAAAATTCGTATATCCCTAATGAGTCTAAGGTTTAAGCTTATTTTAAACATGGTTTCAAAGACATTTTGCTATAGGTAAATATTTGCATGCAGCTAATTCGCCAGAGAAATCTATTGTCTCCTATGTTTTCACCTTCATTTGATTGCAGTAAGAATTGTGCTGCAATATGACAATGATAAACATGGGTAAAGGTCACATTGAACATGATGAAATAAGTTAAAATGGGTGGTAGGTCTACAGACACATGGCATTGTCATAGGAATGAGGAACAGTTGGATTGCTGTTTGCTGGAAGCTTAGTAGAGGTGACTTTTTATGACATCTGATATGGAAGGAGGACAGAAAAAGACTATTTCAAACCCCAAATGTAAACTTTTATAAATGTCATATAGCCATACATGGAAGACAGGCAGAGACAGCAATTACATGGGACAAACAGCATAAGGGAGATGATCAGCAGCTGCATTTCCATGGTTAGTTTGAAATGATTGTCCAAAATTCAGTTTTTTTTTCTGAACTTTATAAACTCATTTGAAATAAATTTTCCTTAGTGAGATGTAGGCAGATTCAAAAGGAAAAAAACATGCCAAACGCATGCTGAACACAAGAGGGATTAGCTGCTCTATAACATTTTCAACAGTAATCAATAAAAAGGGAGGAACTTACCTTTCACATACTCGGACTGTCCATGCTGCAATGATCCAGGATGAGATGCTGAAAACCAGAAGAACTGTACCCGGACAGATGGTCATAAGGGTCTTCATTACAAAGCGTGTGTTGAAATTGATCTTGTTGAGGGCGCCTATGCTCCTCGAAGATGCATCAGTGAAGAGCTTGCTGTGGAGGAGCATCACACGTCCAATTAGGTAGAGCCTCAAGAACATAGGGATGGATAAGATGATATCTATGTCGGCATTGGCTACAGAGGTGGTATAGAAGAAGGCCAGACGAGCTGTCCAGGTAAAGGAGTACTGTCCAGGAATAGGATGAATGGCACACACAGTCAACTCTAGAGTGATGAAAAATATCCGTTCATAGGTCATGGCTATTCTCCAGTCATCCGCTCCATTATCCACCATAAAAAGCTACAACAAAGTAAAGTTAGGAAACAGTAAATCAGGAAAATGATATGGAAAATATAAAAACATGCTAAAACAACTTGATAGATGTCAGGTGTAGTTGAGACCTACGGTTTATAGCCTAGATATACTCTAAGGCTGTAGTACGAGGAATCATTCACAAGGTTTCACAAGCAACCATTCAGAGCATTAGTAGGTAAAAAAAATGAAATACTTTTTTTTTTTAAATGCCTACCAGTAAATCCAACATGTTCACCCCCACTGCTCCCATCCCAGAAAAGGGAGACGTAGTAATAGTCTAGTAATCCAACTTAGAAACTATAGCAATGGAGTGAACATGTAGAGTCTAATGGCATGCAATAGCTAAGCATAGCTAGAGAAAAAGCAGGGACTAACAAATTAATAATAATAATGGACATGTAAGCTGCCAAAAAATTATTTTGTTTTGTTTTGATTTGGATTTTTCGTTACATGTTTTTTTGGGATTCGGATCCGAGAGGCAGTTTGTTTCGGTATTGGGATTTGTCTGAATCCGAATTTTCATTAATTTTGGATGAGTTAAAAGATATTTACAAATGAAAAATGTGTTGCAGAAAAGTGACATTAAATGCTTACTTTTCTTTTACATTTTTGTCAGTCCACAAAAGCAATAAAAAAAACAGCTTGCTGTTCCACCACCCTAATTCATACCAGACGCTTTAGGTCTGGTAGGAATTTTATGGGGGACCCCAACGCCAAAAAAACAAAAAGAAAAGCGTGGGGTTCCCCCAAAAAATCCCTTACCAGACCCTTGATCTGAGCAGCAGCCTGATCAGCAGCATGCAACCCCCCCTCCTGCACCATACCAGGCCACATGCTCTCAGCATGAGGAGGGTGCTTTGCCAGGGGGGCACCTTGTCCCCATGTTGATGAGGACAAGGGCCTCTTCCCCCGATGGTTGTGGGGGTCTGCAGGCAGGCGGGTTTATAGGACTCTGGGTGCCCCTTTCATTCACTAAATGAGCAGTAATATTGTAAATAAACACACCATAGTACAAAGTCTTTTATTAAAAAAGAACATCTCCGGCTCGCCAAAAGAAAAAATTCCTGATGGCCACCAAGACGTCCGATCCTGATGAACACCGGCCGCAAAATGACAACTCCTGAATGTCAACAAAGGGGCAGAGCAAGTCGTGGCGTCATGGATATTGTCCCACCCATTTGTTTACATTCTATTAGGGGACCAAGAGCTGTCACATAGTGTAAACAAATGGATGGAACAAGTTCCGTGACATCACAACTTGCTCCTCCCCTTTGTTCACATTCGTGAACAGAGCTGTCATTTTGTGTTGGTGTTTTGTGGTGTTCATTGGGATCGGTTGTGGCAGCAGACATCAGGAATGTTTTCTTTTGGTGAGTGGGCGGCTGTCACCCATCGTGATTGACGAGGATCTACATCGCTGGATGATAGGATTGACTTGTGGATTACATCGATGGAAATGTCTGGGTTTTTTTTTTTAATAAAAGACTTGTCAAAAACTGTGTTGCGTTTTTTTTTTTCAAATAAAGGACTTTTTTATGGTGTGGTGTGTTTATTTACTATTTTACTGTGTTTGGTGAATGAGTATGGGTAACAACTACCCCTTCCTTATTCACGAGTAGGGGGCAGCATCTGGGTGCCTCTTTATGAAAGGCCCCCAGCCCACAGACCCCCACAACCACTGGGCCAGGATTGTGGAGAAGAGGCTCTTGCCCTCATCGACATGAGGACAAGGTGCTTTGCCAGGGGGTCCTAATCAATGTCATGTTTTACAACGACACTAACCTCATGGTCAACGTTCGCCTGGGAAAAATCATAGATGTATTTTGCCTGCCATATGTCCTCAACCTGGTGGTGCAGTGGTTTATCATGAAATATCCTGGCTTCCAAGAGGTACTTTGTGAGGCCAGAATAGTTTGTGGCCACTTGGGGCATTCATACCTGGCCATGACTCGCCTGTCAGAAATGCAGTGCCGACATCAGCTGGCTGCCACTGCCTCATCTGTTCTTAACGTTGCTTAGGCTACACTGATCATGGTACAAGGCCAGGCTTTGTGGAGGTGGGGTTCTTTTCACTGCATTAATGGATCATTATTCAGGACCTGTGCAGCCTTTTGACACCTTTTGAAGAGTTGACCAAAATGAGCTGCTACGGGGCAAGAATTAGTGATTTAATCCGCCGGCAGCAAACACTACTAGAACTAGAGGCACAGCAGCAGGAGAAAAAAGGAGGACTTACTGCTGTTCCTGGGCCATCAGGAACCTTTGCCCAATGCCTCCATACCTGCGAGACAGAGGCAGCAGGAGGCAGAGGAGGAAAACAAGGAGGAGGGATGAGTGCTGGCAGTGAGAAGGGGAAAATTGGGCAGGCATTAAGAGCGATATTTCACCCCTTCCAAACCTTGGTTGTTGTACATGAGTGGGGTGAGTTTTTGAAGATAGTGACACCAAGGTCTTGGGGTCCTTTGCTGTGGGCAGTTTGTGACAAATAGTGTCTTTTATGCTCACTTGCCTGCACAAGAACCCAAGGATTTAGGGCATTGACGTGGGCGGCCATCCTATTGGATCCCTGATACAGAGTAAAATGGCTGATCTACTACCACCATCCCAGAGGGAGGCCAAATGCATTCATTTGAGGAGGTTCTGTGTAGGAACCCTTTATGCCACATTTCCTGATGGTGGTAGGATCCCCTCTCATGACCAACATGCCTCCGATCCTCTTAACCCCTGAAAGAGGAAGCAGATGTGGTGGCAGTTGACTCAGTACCGCTTTTTATACCACAGCAGCCAGGCCTAGCTGAGGGCATCACGCACAGGCAGCACCTAAACTACATGATTACTGACTACATAGGGTCCAGGGCTGATGCAGACACTCTTAGAAGTGATCTGAGAAGTAATGTTTGCTTCAGAGTAAACCTTGTGGTGTGCCATGCGAGTATTCCGGTGCTCTAGATAATGAAGAAATGTCCTGCTGAATTCCTTACTGGATATCCCAATATGATGCGGTAGGGTGCTTGTAGTGACTATGGATGACACCATAAGTAGCAAACCTTGATGAGGATGTCACCATCACACCAGAGTAACGTTGAAATCAGTAAACGTCCATTTATTTAACAAATTCTGTCACTCAGACAAGCATTTTCAGGGCCACACAGGGTCCTTTCATCAGGCTTAGAGATCTATGCGGCTCCAAAAGCACTTGTTTGAGTGACAGCATTTGCTAAACAAATGGACGTTTACTGATTTCAACGTTACTCTGGTGTGCTACTGACATCCTTATCAAATATTCTGTTGCTCTGGCACCATAAGGATAGGACAGGGCACAGCCTAGGAAGGTAAATGCTAAGGACTAACTTATCCTTTCCATCTCTTCAAAAGAGTTATATTGCTACGGCATGTGAAATCTTCAGATACATCCAACTGAAACATTACATAACTTCTTATTTAAAAACAAATCTACAAATCCTTACTAATTTTGAAATTACCTGTCACCAAGATCCCCATGGGCATGACCTTATTTTGCAACTATGCCTGTCCATAATCTCCACTACCCATTCTAACAAACTATCCCATATGCTAAAACAGGAAGAGGAAATAGGGAAGTCCTTGACCTTGGAAGATTGGAATGATAGCCAGATTCAAAATGATTATGAAGTCTTGAGCCAATGGTGCCTTACTACTCTGTGCATTGCAAAATATGTACCAACATACAGTACCTGCAGATGCATAGACCAGGGTACAATGTAATACATGTGATGGACCTGCCCTACAGTACAAAAATGATAGATAAGAGTCTATTGCTTAATCAGAACTAGGAAAAGCTGTGGGTTCGAGTCGCGATTGGGTTTGAGTCAAACCCAACCATTTTGCTTTTACAAACACATTAAACTATTGTGTTGTATTAGTCATAGAACTTTACAAGTGGTACATGTAATCACATTTACAGTATATACCAACTATTGCAATTAATGAACAGTTTTATTAAATTGTTTTTGTTATTGACAACTGATACAATCTCATTACCTCTATCAATATGGATACAGCAGGGACACTGAACATTTTTCTTGATATGGAGCAATGTTTCTCTTTGTCCAGTTCTTGAAACAATTTGCACACAGAAGGGACACTTGTTAGTGGCACACTGAAAATTCCCCTTAAGATGGAGTCATGTTTGTCTACCTGTAGTTCTTAATTCAAAATAACTGGGGAAAAGAAACCTACCTACAGTGGGAACTCCCTTTTAACTCCCTTTTTAATAATATCTGAATACACTCAGGGCAGCCATCAGAAATTTTGGGGCCCCTTACACAGCTTTTGGCCTGGGCCCCAGGGCCGAATTAAGAACATCATGGGCCTAGTGCTGAGGATTTTGGTGGGCCTTTTGGTGGAAATGTCGAAGGTCACCAGGGCCTTCTTCCTCCGGTCCGGGCTGTGATTTTTAGTCTCTATACAGCTTGGAGCCAGTGGTGGAGCGCCAGGGGCTGGTTGCAGCTGTGAGTCTGGTAGAACTGCCACTGACTCCAAGTTGTAGAGAGAGACTACCAATCTCAGGAATACATTATACAGCAATGCAGAATACTATGAAGCTACATACCCGGTGGTGTTCCTCCGGGTTCATTGTCTGATGTCTCCAGGGTCTCAGGAGGGTTTTGCGGGGTTTCAGGGGGGGTGTGCGGGCTCTCTGGTGGCCAGTGTGGACTCTCAAGCAGTGTTCATTTTTTCGTTGGCGAAAGTTTTTTGGCCGTTTTTCAGTGATAAAAACCTAATTAAAGAGTAGTTAATGGGAGCAAAATGATTTCCGTCCGGTACCCAATTTTCGTCAATGTTCTCCTCCCCACTGGTGCTGGCTGCAGAGGTCTGTGTTCCTCCTAATCCCCGCTTCTCTCCCCGCCGGTATCGGCAGAGGCAGTGGGAACACAGACCAATGCACCCGGCACAAGCAGGGAGGAGAGACTGTCACTGCATTCCCCCTCTGCTCCCCCTCGTAC